CTCAACACATAGATTAGACAACAAATGATAATTGACTTCATCATCAAAATCCGAGATTCAACAAAGAAAACATTATACATACCTTAGAATGACTTATAAATTTAAGAAAGAAGAGATAAAATACTTTTCAAGAGAGTTTACATACTTCAAATTATAAGGTTTTCATGTTTTTACCAAATAAGTAAGATATTTATAGATCCCAAATGATTTTAAAAATAAAACTAAATATTTAAATTTAATTTTCAAAGTATTGACAATACAATCGCTTGTGTCGAGCAATAATAGCAATCAAAAGAACGACTTGATATAAAAAAAAGGTAGAGTCAAACAAAAAAAAAAAAAAACGAGTTGCGAGCTCTAACAAAGTTAAGTTGACAAAGTGATATGTCATGTTATTTACATGTCTGTTATGAAAAGTAAACGTCGACACGTTAAGGATTCACGTCAATCGTAAGATGCAATTTTTGTCTCCAAGTGATTCTACTGGTCTTGTTGAGTCAATTCACGACCTTTGTCATCAAATTTAACCCATATGTACTTTAATCCATCCTGTTTTGCAATTGGTATATATCTAAGATATATCTTTTCTTTTGGTCTCTTTGGAGATTATATATATATATATATATATATATATATATATATATATATATATATATATATATATATATATATAGTTATATAGTTTAAACTATGAATTTTTTCTAGCATGGATTCTACTATTTTGATCCATTAATATTAACAAACGAGATCGAGTAAATCATGGAACTAAAGGAAAATGTAATTTTTAAACTCACATCACTACCGCAGAGCTCTCTCCCTCTAACATTTTCATATATATTTATTAAATCATATAGCAGTATTTTTCAATATAGTGGAGGAGAATTTGACTTTTCTCTCTTTTCTTTTAAAATTCAAATTTTATATATCGATAGTTCTCGGAAAGACTTATAACTAAAGGTCATTTTCTTATTTGACAATTGGTTATCTATCTAACTCAACATTTATTATTTCCTATCATTTATCTATTTCACATGTCAACATTAAATCTTATGTATGTTATCTCAAAATGTGAGGTTTATTTATTTATTTATGAGAATTATGATATAATCTATTTATATAAATATAAATAATACACATTATTAGGCATATTTAAATGACTATTTATATTAATTTACATTTAGCACATTGTAATTTCCTGGTGCTAAAATGTTATTGGAAATGTAGGGATTTCAACTTGCATATGTATAGGTATTAACACTATTTTAATATATATGAATTTTATTTAATATATAATAATTTATAGGATTTTCATTATGATTATTAGTAAATGCATATTTATATTTTATTAACATATTTATTAATTAATATTTGGTTGTGTATGCAGTTATGTATATGCACGATTTATATCAAACATGAAATAAATTACATGTTTATTCTTATTATGAATGTTACCATAAAAAATGACACGATTATATGATTTGTCATAATAACCTTAATAAATACACTATTGCCTTGATATAATCGAGTACGATAGGTTATCATATAATATATCGTGTAATAGTAGAAATTCAACGTCTGATATCTTATAGTAATGAGATCGAATATGGCAACAATATTAAAGAAGGTTATTGTCACATTAAACCCAATGTATAAATAGCCTTAATAAGGGTTATAATATAGGATTTTTTTGAAGGAGATTCAAATAATAATAAGTTGATTAATTGACCAAGGTGCATAATAAAAAATAAAACACATATTTGATCAAGGGATATTATTTTATTACTCTTAATAGTTATATCAGAAGAGTGTTAAGTTTGAAAGATATTTAAAATAGTATTTTTCACGAGATGTGACTCTAATTATATGAGACTCTTTTTATTTAAAAGAATTCGTAAACGATCATGACTAAAGATTTTAATTTTTTTTAAATACTTTCATTAACAAACTAGTTATACTTTACTATGAATGTGAAATATATGAAGTTGTATTTTACATCATGTGTGAGTTAATTAAGGTTTGAATCAAACGAACATAGTTCAAATTTGATTTGCTTCGTTTCCTTTATATAAATATTTACTTGGAAATATAACTCACTATCCCACAGTAGATGCACCATTAACTTTTTATTTCATTATTTTTCTTTTTTCATTCACTTATTTGCTCATTTGTTATAATAAAAAAAATAAGGATTTTATGAAAAAATATTGGAATCTAAAGGGGAAACTTAATTTACCTTCAAGAGACTTTTTAGTCCAATGTGAACAATGAGAATTCTTCCTCTATTTTGTTAGTATATATTCAAAATCACGTAATTGAGAAAAGTGTACATAATTAACTACGATAGTAATAAGACATAAAGCAGGTGTTGTACCGGAGTCAAAATCGAGATCTCGTTGGAAGTTCAAGAGTTCATCGGAAGTCCGAACGTTCGTCGTAAGTCCGGACGTTCATCGAAAGTTTTGCCAGAACCAACCGAGGAGTCCAGGAGATTACCAAAAAAGCTTGTCAGAACTCGCTAAGAAGATCATTGTAAAGTCCGGGAGCTTGCAGGGAGTCCACTGGAACATTACCGAGAATTCGTCGAAAGATCGTCGGAAGCTTGCCGAAAGAGAATTGACGTACCAGAACAAGAGTGCTTTGATTATGTCTTAATTATTATAGTTAGACAGTAAATTAAGTTAGAATTGGGAGGTAATCTCATTAACTTAATTAGGGGCCAACTTGGCCCTTAATAAGACTGAATTGGGTTAGATTGAACAGCCCATTCAACCCTTGAAACATGGCCGACAGTGGCACTGCCTGGGAGACCCACTCTCCCAGGTGGTCTGGGTAGTGGTACCGCCCAGTGTCAAACTGTAAGCGGTAGTACCACTCAGTAATGGTGGTAGTACCGTCAGTATCTCGAAATCTAGGGATGTGACATTTTTTGGTTCCAATTTTGAAACCATTGGGGCCTATAAAAATCCCACCATTTTCTGCATGAAAGGGCACGAAATTATTGGTATAATCTTGAGTCTTTGAAGTGTTAAAGAGTTGTAAAAGTACTAGAATCCTCCTCCTCCCTTTCTAAGTATTGAGATCATTCAAGAGAAGTGTGAGACTTGTAAGGGTTATCTCCTAAGCCCGTGAAAAGGAGAAAGCGCTATAAAAGTTGGTTAGTCTTTGCCTATTGAAGGAAGACGCCGATGACCTCAACGGAGGAGGAATTCGAAAGTGGATGTAGGTCACAACGATCGAACCACTCTAAATTCCGATTTACTTTTCATTTGTGTAATTTATTACTGAAAATCTCCTTAATCTTCTCTTTGCACTTTTAAGAAAGCTTTCAAATTCAATCTTTCTTCGAAACTGATTGAATCGAAATGAATATTTTTCGGAATCAGGTTTAATCGTGAAAGTTTTCTACTGCACTAATTCAACCCCCTCCGCTTAGTGCACTCTTATCCCCTAATAGGAAGAAGATTTGACTTTCTCTCTTCTTCCATAAAATTAAAATTCTTATTTATCTATGGTGCTTGGATCGTTTTCAAGCGGAATATTTTTTATTTTTAATATTGTTAATCGTTTTTATTAAATTTAGATTTTTGTTATTGTTCTAACACAATTGTTCAAACGCAATTAAGTGAACATCAAATCACAATTTATATTCCTAGTTTGTTGTGAAAGGGAAAATAACTTTCTTATCACAAGCAGCCGAACTCTATATTAAGATTAGATCGACTAATTCTCAATCCTTCTTATAAAAGGTGTTTAATGCGAAGGCAATATAGCCAAAATTTACGTGTCTCCTTGTGGGTAACATTCGAACACGAGACACAGAATATAATTCCACCTGTCTTTACCCCTTTGTGTCTAATCCACATGACTGTTTAGGCATCAACATAGCCGCGGGATCGTCCCGGGACGCGGGTACGGCTCCGACGACGACGAGTCTCCTGTCAATTTGGGCCAAGCGGGAAGGAGATCATGCCCCCGGGTGTGGGACCCAAGTTTCACGGATATGCTTTAAGTGTATCGGACATATGACGCCAATAACAGGACAGGTAGATGTAACGGGTAGACAATTCACTGGTTGCAAAAGATTTCCTGGACCCTTCTCCTCGTCCGCCGTGACGCGACGTGGCGCGTCCGCTACCAAGCAATACCTTTATCATCTTACCTCTGACCCACGCGGTGGGGCCCAGCCATACCGCGACACCACCTGATCCAATGCCTGAGACGGGTAGCCGATGACGGGGTTGGAGTAGGCATTCTTCGGATCCCCTCCCCGCTACGCGGCCCGGGGCGAGCGGGACTCGATCTCCCACGTTGAGGAGACGTGGCATGCTCCAGAGACTGCCACGTCTGCGATTTTTTGCGGGTCACTTTTCCACCGGCCTTTATGGACGCTTTTTCGGCCCCACGACCTTCACTCGTGCTTCGAGCCCGGGGCCGGCTACGGTACGCACCGTGGCGCACTTTAGCCGGGGCCCGTGCCTGCGACGCCAGGTTATAGATCTTATTGGGATACGGATCATGGCTATGAGAGCGAGAGAGAGGAGGAAGAGGAGGGGGAGATTTGAAGGGCTTATGTGAACATCGATCGGCGCCTTCTCCTCTTGGGCATCTCTTGTTGCCACTCTTGCTACCTCGTCGGCTTTGCTTTACTTGGATTTTCGTCTTGGTGGTTTACAGTTCGGATTTGGTGAAGGGATAGGGCGATAGTCAAGGGAGGTAGAGGGTTTGATGGTGGTCGCGAGGATGGGGGGAGAGAGGGGTGAGGAGAAGGGAGAACAGCGGTGGAGAGGCCGTAAGGAAGGGGGTAGCGGCGGTGATGGTGATGCCGGAGGCCACCAGTTCTTGGACCGGAGCAGGGTAAGGATACTGCTGTGCGAAAACGATCCCAAGAGCTCGCGGGAGGTTCTTCAGCTCCTCCTCAAGTGCTCCTACCGAGGTATTATCCTCCTTTTCAGCTCATACGGATGCATAGGCTGCATCAGGTTTTCTAATCAAAGCCTTTATTTTGGTGGTCGTTAAGAATCAGAAAGGACACATCTTTCTGCAAATGAATCCTTTGTTCAAAGGAAAAAGAAGGGGGAAATCGCTGGGGAAAATATATTCAGCCTTTTTCTTCAATTGGTGACTCTTACACTAGTAATCAATTAATTTGCGAGGAATCATTTGCATCATTGCTCTCTTAAAATAATTATTTCAAAAAGCAGGAAACCATATCTCTATATCTACGAAATAAATGGAATCTTTTTCGCGTTTTGGTGCAAATCCCCTGATTTTTTTCTTATTTTGTTTTGGTGGTAGTGTGAGCCAAGATTTTTATTTTTCTTGTTCACGTGGTGGCCGATTAGCTGGGTCTGTATTGTACTCTTTCCTTACTTGCAGTAATGTTTCTGATTAAATAAATGGTGGGATTTTTGTTTGATATGGTGGTATTTCTGAAATCCGAAAGAATAGATGGTACCTTTTGATTCACAAGCTTTAGTAAAAGCATCCAGCTGATTAAACTTGTCATGTTTCAGTAACCTCCGTGAGGTCTGCCAGACAGGTGATCGATGTGCTTAATGCCCAAGGACCAGAAATTGATATCATTCTTGCGGAGATCGAGCTTCCAATGACCAAAGGACTAAAGATGCTTAAGTATATCATGAGGAACAAGGATTTGAGGCACATTCCTATCATAAGTGAGCTTATTTAGCTAGGAGCTATTGCCTTTTCGCCTCCTGTTGGAAGTCAATTAAAAATCCTTGTTGCTTACTTCCCATTTCTTCCCCAGTAATGTCTGCTCAAGATGAGGTGTCAGTTGTCGTGAAGTGTTTGCGACTTGGGGCAGCTGATTATCTTATGAAGCCATTGCGAACAAATGAGTTGTTGAACCTTTGGACCCACATGTGGAGAAGAAGATGCATGGTACTGCTTGACATGAGTTTCCTTGATTTTTTGTCCTACTTCTGATGTGTGAAATATGTAATTACTTCAAAAGTTAGAAGTGGAATTTATTTGTATTTTGTTCACCAGCTTGGCCTGATGGAGAAGGATGTCTTGAGCCATAATTTTGAGATACAATTTTCAAATCCTAGTGATGCCAACACGAATAGTACAACTCTTATCTCAGATGACACAGATGATAAACCCAGTACAGTTCCAAATTCAAAATCGAACAAGTCCAATTATCCAGAATGCGAGGTAAGATCATTCTAGATCTTGTTACTTTTTAGTTGAGGTGTATTTGTCGAATAACACAGACTCCGTTGATATTCTTTAAGATTTCACTTCATAGTCTGTCACATATTGCTTGGGTTAGGGTTATTTAATTTTCATGAGCGTAGATTCTTGCAGAAAGAGCATTACTTGTCATAATTTTCATTCTGTAAATCAAACAATATATGCTATGTGGATTGACGTTAACTGATATCATATTGTCCAGTCCCATGTCTCTCCTGCGGTGCATGCTTGCAGTAATCCTTTACATGGTGTACAACATATTCCAAGGGATTGCGATCATGCAGGTAACTACTACTGCCTTTCTGTATGTGTCTTTAGTTTTAAGAGGCTGTCTTTGTATAGGTATCTTTTTCTTCAATTGTCATTGAGAAACTAACTGTTTTACTAATATCTTCAGGGGGAGTAATTTCACTACCAAAGAAGACTGAATTAAAGGTCGGTGAATCTTCTGCCTTTTTGACATTTGTTAAATCCAGTATGGCAAGCAGAACTCCTCGTATTGGTGTTGACATGAATTCTACACCATCAAAACCCTCAAATTTTGAAGAAAGCTCTATTGCAGTCAGGCATGTAGAGAGATATGCTACTGGAAATGGCATCATAACCAGTGGGCACATAACAACGCCAGAGTATCCCACATTATGTCTATCTTCCATTGAGCAGCCACCAACGAGGAATGAAGTCCAGCCAGATGTTTCTGGAGTTCCACTTGTCTTCTCTTTACCATTTTATTATCCAGGTGTGATGGATCAGAACATTATACCTACACCTGGACATTTGTTTCAGTGTAGCTTAAATGATTTGCAAGAGCACTCTTCACCAGCCTTGCTACCTCACTTTGTTCCTCATATTCCTCTGATGCCATCATTCCCATATCAGACATTTGGCATAAATTTGCAATCAAGTCACATTGCTGCAACAGCTGTCTCTTCATCAATGACTAGCTCTCCTATGCTTGAAGTTAAATCTGGTCGAATAGAAAAAAGGGCAGCGGCACTCATCAAGTTCAGGCAGAAAAGAAAGGATCGATGTTTTGATAAGAAAATTAGGTATATAAACCGAAAACACCTTGCAGAGAAACGACCAAGAGTTCGAGGGCAGTTTGTGAAGCAAGTGACCAATGTGGATCTAAACCAAAATGTGCTTGGTGGCAGTAATGGTGATCTCAAGGATGATGAAGATGATGAACCTACATTGAAGGAACTAGAACTTATTTCTTCTCCGGAACAGAATGCTCCTGACTGTTAAATCAAAGCTGGCAATTACATCATAGACTGCTGATGCTTAAAATGCAGATGGAAGATGTAATGGTCCCAGGATTTTCCACACTCGGTATTGGCAGTACTTCCCATTCAGGCTGCATATTGTTAATGAATTGTGTTGTTGCTGCTAATATGTTCAAGAATTTTTCACAAAAGATATGTTCAAGCTGCTAGAACTTTTCTTCTCTGGAGCAGAATGCTCCTGACTGTTAAATCAAAGCTGGCAATTACATCGTAGACTTCTGATGCTTAAAATGCAGATGGAAGATGTAATGGTGCCGGGATTTTCCACACTCGGTATTGGCAATACTTCCCATTCAGGCTGCATATTATTAATGAATTGTGTTGTTGCTGCTAATATGTTCAAGCTGGCAATTTGTGAGGATGATAACATGAGGCGGCAAAGACATTTAGGTGGTATTGTTGATTAACCTTATTGGCCTATTCATATAATGTTTTTTTTTTGCATACATACGCTTAATATAGGTGACTTATTTATCAGAGTCACAATCTACTATTTTCAAATATTTTGATCTCCTTAACTTTATTGTGCATTCTTGAACATTGTGATGCCCATATGAATAAAACCTTTATAGGAAGATGCAGATACAATCATTTAAACTCCTTGTAGATTATACTGCACTGTGTTTCGTCTTTAGCAACAAATTTCTAGGAAATCCATGCATCAAAATAGGTAGATGCAGATACAATCATTTAAACTCCTTATACATTGTACCGCACTGTGTTTTCATCCTTAGCAACAAATTTCTAGGAAATCCATGCATCAAAATTTAATAGGGAACTGCATTGCACTCTTTTGAATATCAGGCTCGCATCATATACAACATCTATGATGAATAACCAGCGATATTGTTGGTTGCAAAAGTGTAGCCTTTCCATTTATTTGCATCACTTCCATCGAGTTTGTAATTAATCCTTCTATTATATTTGAGTCCGTTTGACTAAAATTAGCTTATCTATATGTTGGGATAATCATGAACTATAATGCTAGAACTGAACGATAAATTCACTGATTTTATTGGATTCTTGTGCAACCAAGTAATGCAGTTGCGCCACCCAATTGAAGGTCATACACAACACAAACATAGTCCAAAGAAGGCCTTTGTTCAATGTGTTCAAAGGTGTGTTGAGGCCAAGGTTTCAAATCTTAACCATACCGAGTGGTACAAATTGGTGATTATCAGTGTCCAACCATTATGACACAGCTCTATACTAGTACAATGCTTTTCCCCTCAAATTTTTATTTTTTAATTCATTGATATTGGATGGTATAGGACAATATGCTGCACAACCATACAAATCCAGTAAGTTTTTGGACCAAATTTAAAACCTTGGCTGAAGCTAATGGTCATTTATTTTTGGTTCAGGTCAGGCTTATTTCAATTCTTTGATTTGACAGCGTCCAGTTTAACTGAGTCTGTGTGGGTTCAGATCTGGTTTGGGTGTTAAAATGCACTGATATGTAATTATAGCATGAACAATAAGGCTCCAGTATCTTGATCGACATAGATCAAGATACTCTTTCCCTCCTCATAACATGGATTTGAATTTCAGTCTATGCAGTGTCTGCCAGCCATATCATCCGGACGGGCGTGATCATGCCAACATTCTATGGTTAAACATAGGGGCCCTTGTCTGTCGGTGGGCTTATATCTTTAGCTATTAATTGACCACTTGACAAGATTATTTTGTCTTCTTTACATCAAGCAAGAAACTGTGAATGTTTTTACCATACCATGTGAAATAAGAGATGTTGTGGTCTTTTGTTAATTTTTAAAGGAGTAGAAAGGAGAGAGTTGATGGCTCATTAAGTTTGTTTGTAGAAACTGATGGTTTTAACTTCTGTGGCGACTTATGCATGTACCAGTATAAATTGTTGTAGTAGAAATCTTTCACTCTATGTATGGGTTATCTTTGAGCCATTCATAAGTGGGAGAGGCTATTAAAGCTTGCTTACTCTTGCTTGCAAGATCTCTTGGGAGGGATCAAATTATTATAGTTTGCCTCTAGTAGCTACTACACGGAATGGCAATTTGTTTGAAGCTACTTTTTCTTTTTTCCTTCACCACTAGTCTCTTTTACTTTTTCTTTTCTAACATTCCTCGTTTGACTTTTGTCCTGGTTAATTGAGTGGTTGTCATTATTCTGGAACAGATTGGTCTCCATGCAATGACCCCTTAATTCAGTTTTAGGTAATTGTCTAAATTGCAAAGCATCAGTACATGGGCTGTCATAACACATGGAGAGCGACACTCAAAAAGTATCATACTATGTCATTCACCAAGTTTGCTACTTAATAAGCATCAGATCCAAGAAGATTTCACTAGAAACTATTAATAAAAAAATATATTTTTAATTAAACTATGGATATTATCAAGATCTAAAGACCTGACTCTAAATGGTTGGGATATCAGAGCTTATCGTTGTATTCAAAAGTGCATTTGGACAATTTCTATTGTTTAAAACTCTACACTACTATCGATAGCAAATGTGTGTCAGATTCTGTTTGAATTGATTGACAGCATTCCTAAGATGAACAATGTTGATCTTATTATTCTGGAGTGTAATTTAATTGTGAGTTGAACTGATTGACAGCATTCCTAAGATGAACAATGTTGATCTTATTATTCTGGAGTGTAATTTAATTGAGAGTTGAATTCATGAATCCAGATAGTATCACTTCAATAGTAGTGTAGTGTTTACTTCATTTTATCTGACTTGATATAGAATTTATTAGCACACTTATCTTCTGTTTTAAAATGTTACTCTTTTTTTTTTAAATTTAAATCACAGCAAAGAGGTGTTATAAAAATAATGATTTCCGTTGCCGGGACTCGAACCCGGGTCTCTCGGGTGAGAGCCGAGTATCCTAACCAACTAGACTACAACGGAGGGTGGCAATCGTGCGTCGTATTATTTATATATTGTGTTTTTATTTATTTAGTTTATGATTCTGCTAATTTCTATTTAGAAATAAAAAACAAGCTCCGTATAAAACAACAATAGCCAATGAACCACTTAGATGAATAAGAATAGTATCATAGGGTGTTAATTTCCTTCGTTCTCAGTTACTCTAGAGTAACACTTTGATTATTAATTAATAAAGGAGGCTAACATATGAACGATCGAATATCATGTTATTGCTTAACATTATATCGATTTGAACACGTTATTGATTAATATATAATGGTGACTGCACTAACCATAATTCTTGTTGTTGTTGTTGGTTTAGTCAATTCTTCACATTCCCTCAATATAATTAATTATTGTGCATGAATTCAACATTATCTTCTCTTACTGTTAAAAAAAAAATCAATTTATATAAGATATTAGGCATCTCTCTATCTAATAATTTATTCAAACTTTTCAATTTTTTGAAATATTTTAATTATCAGAGGAGTTTTTATTGGGCATGCCCCCCAATAATATCATCTTACAGAAAATCCAATCGGGCATCATCGTATTTTAATAGTAAGGCTATGATGAATTCGGATCTTAGAGCTAAGTTAACTTCAAATCTTCTCAGATACATCGAACAATCAAAGTCTATCATGATAGCAACCAACAATCAAAATCTATCGTCGTAATGGCATCATCATTCGCTAGTCAAAAAACCAACACATACTAGTTGGTGATATGATGATGCCTGATTCCTCTTCAACCGTATACCACAGACAATAAAAACTTCTGAAAGGGGTTTATTCATACATCATCCATGCAAATATACCTCACCACCTCAGTCCTATTAAACCTATTGATGTATCCATCACCCATCCCAGTAAATAAAATGGAGTGATGCAAAATATGGTCCACACAATGTGTGACACTTGTGAAAGTTTTGGGAGATGTTGCTCCCAATTAGGTTCAAATCTATCATACACCACACATAGGGTTCTTTTGTCGAATCATGTGAAGTAATGTGTCTCTTGGGGAGTGATTGGAATTGGACCACTCGAGTCAATTTTTTGATGGCTCCACCAAAACCATCGAACATGTCATGGCTTATGCATGGTCACGGTGGGGATAGATGGCAACCATAATGGTATCATAATAACATCATTTGGTCCGTAGCATGAGAGGCCAAGTCTACCATATGACTACCGATTGCATCTTGTGGACCTACCATCGAGAGAAAGTATCATACACCACCTTTTTTTTTTTTTTTTTGGTGTCTTGACTTTTATTATTTTTTGGGGGTAGAATTTTATTGTTTCCATCAAATGGAATCAAATATCCAATTTTGAAGTTAAGCAATTGATAATTCTCGGTAGTAAATAGTAAAATGACAAATTTTAAGATTCTGCCACAATTTAGATCCCTACTTGGAAGTTTTTAAGGAAAACAAAAAAAAAAAAATCCAAAATTACAAACCATTCTACCTTATGGAGCCTAAATATTATAAACAATTATTTAATGACTCTATTTATTCTTCATTCCGAAAATTATATTTATGGGGCTAAAGAAATCTCCGACTGTTTGATAGTGCCACACTCAAATTAAAGATGCATTGCTTTTGTGGACCATGTTGGGACAAAAAATCAAAAGAAAGCACTCGAGGGGGAATTGTTGCAGGCCTTTAATCTTTAATTATACCATTGGGTAGAACAATTCTAAGTGGGAGTGGTTCGCAGGAAAGATGCTGTCACTCACTCACTCACTCACTCCTATGGCAATAAAATGTGGAGATCCCTTTCATCCGACATTATCTCTTTCGTCTCTTCTATGAAGTTGCTTGTCTTGGCAAAAGTGACAACAAGGCATGAAAGCTCCTCGGGAGACGGTGGCAATGCATCCAAGGAACCATTGGTATCATATGATATGATATGATATGACTCACTAAAAATATCGATAGAGAAGTGTTAAAATTATATATGTATCCCTTTGAAGTTTGTGATTTCATATTTATCCTTCCAATTTAGTGTATATATAATATACATATGTGCAAAACTCAACAGCTTTTATCACTATTGTTAGTTTAAAATAGTTGATCATTAATATAGTGATATTAAGATTTAAACTAACATTAACATCAGTCTTAAAAAAATGCTGGGAAACGTGATATGCCAAATAATTATTGAAAATAATAAGGCACATTTGAGTTTATCGGTTTAGTAGGTACTTCAAATTTTTAATAAGTTCTTTGGTTTAGTAATAACCATGGCTAATAATGGTCATCAATTTGGGTTTATCAAATATTTAAATATTTTGGTATATATATATATATATATATATATTTAAATATAGATTATTTGGAAGGATATCTAGTACTAAATTTAGAGGAAGCAAATATGGTAATTACAATCCTT